TATTACTTTTATTTAGCAAGGATGCTTTAAATTAAACAAAAGTGATGATAAAGACATTTAAAATGTTACAAATGATTTCTATTTCAGATAAATGCTGTTCTTTTGAACTTTCTATTCATCAAAGAAACTTGAAAAAAAGTTTTCAACATAATAATAATAATAATAATAATAATAATAGTTTTTTAATCCGCAAATCAGAATATTAGAATGATTTCTGAACGATCACGTGACTGGAGTAATGAAGCTAAAAAATCAGATTTGAAATCACAGGAATAAATTACATTTTTAAATATATTCAAATAGAAAACAGTTCTTTTTAATAGTAAGTTTTTCCAGATTTTACTTTTTTTGCTGCACTTTGGATCAAATAAATGCAAGCTTGGTGAGCAGAAGAGACTTACTGTTACTCTTAAAAAATCTTACTGTTTAAAAACTTTTGACTGGTAGTGTATAATGAGCCATATACTGTAAATATTTACAGTCTATATTTATATTTCTGATGTTGTCCCAAACAAACAATTTCCCACATAACTTTATAGCTAGTTTTATGTTACTTGTGTCATTCAGAAGGGAGTTTTCGGTTTGTATCATTATATTGAGGTTTCCTTTCTCTCTGTTGGGTTTTTCTTGTATTTTCCAGCAGTCCAGCGTGGTCGAATCCCTCCCTCTCATGCAGGCATCAGTCCAGCCTCCATGGTTGGTGCGGGTGGTGATGTTGGAGGAGGTCAAGGCATGGGTGCTGAATTCTTCAACGGTCAGCCGGTGTCTGAACTCATCTCTCAGCTGCTGAGAGCAGAGCCATACCCCAACAGCCGCTACGGAGCCCAGTGCGGCCAGCAGCTCGCAGGAGGCAACAGCTCCGTCATGGGCATCGACAATATATGTGAGCTGGCGGCCCGGCTGCTCTTCAGTACCATCGAATGGGTGCGAAATATTCCCTACTTTCCTGACCTGCCCGTGTCGGAGCAGGTGGCCCTTCTGAGGCTGAGTTGGAGTGAACTGTTCATCTTGAATGCAGCTCAGTCGGCTCTGCCGCTGCATACGGCCCCTCTGCTGGCAGCTGCTGGTTTTCATTCCTCCCCCATGCCCGCTGACCGCGTCGTGTCCTTCATGGACCAGGTGCGGGTCTTCCAGGACCAGGTGGACAAGCTGACACGACTGCAGGTGGATTCGGCCGAATACAGTTGTCTGAAAGCCATCGCTCTGTTCTCACCAGGTGAGAGTTAAATATAGGGTTAAATATAGGGTACAACGGGGCAAAAGGCGCCTTTGATATTATTTTCTGCTACACCACTAGATGGCACAAAAACGTGGCTTAGCACTTTCCAAAACATTCGCTTTTCAAGATGCACGTGCATATTTGTCTGATGTCTGAAGTTGATTCTGTGCTTACTTGATCTAATATTTTATGTTTTTTAAAATGTTGTAGATTAAGTAGCAAATGAGAAATTAGCTAAAATGAATGCATATATTTTGAGACAAAGGTCTTCTTAAAGATTTTCAGTTTTGTTTTTAAATAACGAAAGAATATGTAAAAGTATGGTGTTTGGGGTCAAAAGTGCCCCTGCTGTTGGGGCTAAAGGCGCACAGTAATTAACATGATAATTAATAGAAGGCTGACTTTTCTATTTGTTGACATAACATCACATGGTTAGATTCAGATGGTAAATATCATATATTATGTTGGGTGTCCATATTAGAGATGATCACCATGTTTAGAATGGAACCATCATATTTAAAAACATATTAATCATATCACATAAAATATAATTTGTTGTTACTCCTGTAAATCTATTTTAAATTATTATGGGATCTCCTTCAATACTTTCAGAATCTTTACTTCTTAAAATTATTTTGTTTCTGTATTTTAAAATGTATGTTTTTTATATTAACATAGTTTAATGACAGTATATTTATTGAACAAAAGTTTAATATTTTATTTTTAAAATAAGCAGAAAATAGTACAAACATTGCTAAAGTGATTGTTTTGAACATGTTTTAACTTAGACATTATTAAAAAACATTATTTTAGCTGAAGTAATTGTATCAATACTGTGTGCCTTTTACCCTGTGTGTGGGATAAAAGGCCCCCCTTGCCATCTCATACATTTATAAGCTTTTTAAACAAAATAAACGACTTGCATGATTTATTTTCACACAAAATCTGTTGCTCCATTAATGTTCAATACAAACGTATATATTTTTTCTGCAATTACAAAAAAAATTGAAAAGCACATTTTTTCTTAAGGTGAACCTTTAGCCCTGTTGTACCCTATATTCCAAAACACTGTCTTCAAATTAATATTTTATCAAGTAATGCATGGCTATTACGTTGTTTATACTTGGGGTTACAAATCTGAACAACAGAATCTGCATTTGAGAAATGTTTTGCTATTATTTTAAGTTATTAAATGTACCATTTTTGCCTGCTGGATGGAACAAAATCCCTAAGACTTATATTGAAAGAGGGACCATAGCCATATCTATGATTATCATAGAAACTTGGGCTTTTAGGGTAACGCATTTTGACTTGAGACAATGAGGAACCACATCGAAACCATCCAAAACATCCTAGAAATTGCATAGTAGCTTACTAAAAACCACTAAGAACATTCTAAACACATAGCAAAGGAGTGAAACCATTTAGAACTCCTTAAATGCATATAAACATGCCTTTCAGAAAACGTTTGCATAGCAGCATGCTAAATCCACTCAGAACACGTTAGCAAAGGTGTAGCAAAATGCTAAAATATTTGAGAGCATATTATTAAAGGCCTAACAACATGCTAAAACCACTCAGAATATGTTAGTAAAAGCATAGCCAGATGATAAACCTCTCAGAATATTTGTAAAGGCAAAGCAAAATGTTAAAACCTCTCATAACATTATTAAACGCATACCATGCTAAAACCACTCCGAACACATTAATAAAAGCATAGCAATGTTAAAACCACTCAGAACATGTTAAAGGCATAGCAACATGTTAAAACCTCTCAGAACACATTAGTAAACGTATAACAACATGCTAAAACCACTTAGATGTAGAACACATTAATAAAGGCATAACAACATGCTAAAACCACTCAGAACATGTTAGCAGTCATAGCAACATTCATATCCTCTCAGAGCACATTATCAAAGGCATAGCAACATGCTAAAACCTCTGAGAACACGTTATTAAACACATAGCAAAATGCTAGAACCTCTCTAAACATTATTAAACACATAGCACCATGTAAAACCCCTTAAAACATGTTGGTGAAAGCATCTATACATATCTATGGGTGAAAGCATAGCAACATGCTAAAACCACTCAGAACATGTAAGTAAAAGCAAAGCAAAATGCTAAAATCTCTTGAGAACATGTTACTAAAGGCATAACAAAAAGGCTAAAACCACTCCGAACATGTTAGTAAAGGCAAAGCAAAATGCTGAAACCTCTCATATTATTAAATGCACACCATGCTAAAACCACTGAGAACACGTTAGTAAAGGCATAGCAACATGCTAAACCTCCCAGAACACGTTAGTAAAGGCATTGCAACATGCTAAACCTCCCAGAACACGTTAGTAAAGGCAAAGCAAAATGCTAATAACTCTCATAACACATTATTAAACACATAGCAGTAGTATCATGCTAAAACCACTCAGAACTCATTAGTAAATGCATAGTGATGTTAAAACCTCCCAGAACACGTTAGTAACGGCATAGCAACATGCTAAACCTCCCAGAACACGTTAGTAAAGGCAAAGCAAAATGCTAATAACTCTCATAACACATTATTAAACACATAGCAGTAGTACCATGCTAAAACCACTCAGAACTCATTAGTAAATGCATAGCAATGTTAAAACCACTCAGAACATGTTAGTAAAGGCATAGCAACGAGCTAAATCCAGAATGCTTAGTTGCAGTGGGTTTTGTACAGCCGCTCTTTTTAAAATGTAAAATTCTAGTTAGTTGGAAAATTAGTCTGACAATTTTTTATTTTTTTTTTTGGCATTTTTGCCTTTAATTTGACAGGACAGTGTAGAGAGGACAGGAAGCGAAGTGGGAGAGAGAAAATAAAATGTTCAAAGAGAAAATAACATTGCCAAGTATCCATCGCATTTGCCGTTTGGATTTCACTTGCAGCTGGGTTGTAAACTCTTTGTCCTGTTTCCTGCAGACGCGTGTGGGCTGTCAGATCCGGCGCACATCGAGAGCCTGCAGGAGAAAGCACAGGTGGCCCTGACCGAGTACGAGCGTATGCAGTATCCAGGTCACCCACAGCGCTTCGGCCGACTCCTGCTGCGACTGCCCGCCCTGAGAGCCGTTCCCGCCAACCTCATCTCTCAACTCTTCTTCATGCGGCTGGTTGGCAAGACGCCCATTGAGACGCTTATCCGGGACATGCAGCTCTCTGGAAGCTCCATCAGCTGGCCATACGTGCCTGGACAGTAGATGAACAATCAGAGACTTGTTCCCGTGTCCCATCTCAGGCTGCTCCCATGATTCCACAGTAACCGTGTGGATAGATGTTGTGTTTCGGGTTTTGTTGATTGCGTATATACTGTATGTCTAAAAGAGGTTGACACGTATGTTGCTATGCAGTTTCAATGAGCCATCCAGCACCAAGATACCTCATGTTTCACATCATGAGCATCAACAAATTCTGTCGAGAACATTTGACGAGAAACAGAGGACTGATTATGAAGAAGTCAGCTGATATGTGACACAGATCCAAAGCTTTAAAGAAGAGTGTACAATACCTTCTTTTTCAGAGCATATTGAACTATTTTAAAGCTAGTGTAGACGTACAGTAAGAATCTTTGTAACAGACTGCATTTGTGAGAAAAATGTTGGGTTATATACTTGAAAAATCAATGGTGAACAATGAATGGCTATGTTTAGAATGGAATACTTGCATACTGCACACTACTGCTTTATATTGAATAGTATGTGAAACAGTATGAAATATGCAATATTACATACCCCAAACCGTACTATGCTACATTTTGATCTCATTATATTGCATGTTTATCATGTAAATATGGTACACTGCATTATGGGATACAGTATGCTTTGGTTGTGTTCGGAGTACTTCCAGGTATTACACACTATGCACGGTATACATACTATATACCAAAAACATTAAGAGTAGTATGGTAGTGTGCTATTCTGAACATAGACCATGCCTTCGATTGTCCTATTTAAACAGTTCTGGTGAATTTTTCAATGGTGTGGAGAAATGGTATAAACTTTTACATTGCCGACTGTGGGGAAATATCAAGTATTTTTGCATACTAAAAATAAAAATGAATGATAAACAAGCAAGCAAGCTATTATGTAAGAAGACTGTTTATGAAAAAAAAAACCACTTGCATTTTCAGCAGTGTTAGTCAAATAAATAACCTGCAAACAAGAAAAAAGGATATTTGTTCCAACTTTTTTCGTCTGAAGTTTGACTTGTATTTCGAAGATTAATAAAAATGGCATCTGTCTAATAAAAAAGGCATCTGTGCATTTGTTACTAATCAATATTGGGTACAAATCCTTTGTTTAATAATATATTATCTACACTGATTTGGCATACAAAAGTTTTTCAAATATTAATCATTAAAAAGAAACCTGCTTTTTAATGTGATGATAAAAAAGACTATACACAAAAAGACTAAACATTTTAGCCTTTACATTAAATAATATCTCCATTATAATTACAGGATGGCTACACCACCTTAAATGTTTTACTTTCAATCAATCAATCAATATGAATTCAAAAATGTAAATGATTATATCACTTCATGATTATACCACCCACCTACAAAATCATTCTGCATGCTGTGCACTGGGAAAAAAAGGTATAGAAACAATTTTCAATATGATGTTTCACAATTAATAAAGTAACATGAAAACAAAGTACAAGCACTGAAATATTTTGTAAAATATACTCCAAAATATTTTTATTTACAACACCAAAATGCGTCATCTGCTGGTGAATCAGTGCTCGTGCTTGTTTAAATGACAGTGAAATCACTGTTTTACCCGTAAATACGCCCATAAATAAGTCACATCAACATTTACCCATGTTCAGCTGACAAATCCGATTACGTAAATGAATGAATAGGATGAAGAAAACGAGAGAAGTGTAATGCAGCCCAGCCCCAACATGACACACAGCCAAAGTGGAGGAGCCGAACACCCTCACTCGAGTTATTATCAGTGAAAATCACTGAAGTAAACACCCAAGAGACCCAACAGGGAATAACAGTTTTATAACACGCAGAAAATGTCGTTCATGCCCGGTCAGCCTGTCTCAACGGTTGTGGTAAGTTTGCGTTCAGTGTGAGAAAGCTTCACTAGCATTAGTGCTTTCAGCCTTGTGTGCGGTTCTTTAGTGTTTTTACAACGACAGGGATTCATTTTATATCGTTTGACTGGAAAAGCGGTTAATTAAAAAACGTTTTTTTTATTCTCGACAATAATTTGCGACATGACAGGACAGTTTGGTTAAGTTTATTTGAGTTTAAGCTAACAGCTGATGTAATGAAAAGGGTTAGCGTGCTAGGCTAACGTTAGCCAGCAGGGGCGAACAAAGTGAACAATAGTTCATCATTTATTTATTATTCAATTTATTTGTGTATTTATTTAGATTGTGGGAAATGATTATGGGGCACAATTTAATGAAACCGAACGTTTTACTTCGTTTTACTTTACTGCGGTTTACTTGCTCTTAAACTAGAGCAAAACCAGAGTGTTCATTTGGCTTCCCTAAAATGAAACGCTATTTATACAATGCTTATTAGTCATTTCTGGGATACAGTTAATATTAAATGATTAATTTAATTGGGGTTTAATTGTTCTTTTGTATTATTTTCAATCTGTTCTGATGTCACTCAGGTGTGAAGTAAGTAGGCGTGGTTTATGTTCTTGTTCAGGTAATGCTGCCATATATGGTCATAAACAGCTGCGCCATAGGATGTGTCTTAAATCCTAGTTAGCCACCTACCTAGATAGCACCTAGCGTGCATTATTCTCAAAAATGCTGACTATGTATATAGATAGCTAAGTTTTTAGACGTATACTTATTATGCCTGCCTTGTAAGTCAGCTGTCTTGTGTTTTCCTCTCTGTATTTCAGCAACGGATTGAGATTCACAAACTACGGGATGGTGATAATTTAATATTAGGATTCAGCATTGGAGGGGGAATCGACCAAGATCCAAGCCAGAATCTGTTTTCCGAAGACAAGACAGACAAGGTGAAAAATCATGTTTCGTGAATTGAATTCTATTTAGAGTGAGGCATTTTTCCTCCTCTGTCATTCAGAAGTGACTCTTCTAACCTCATTAACGTCACAGGGAATCTATGTCACGCGCGTATCTAAAGGTGGACCTGCAGAGGTGGCTGGTCTCAGGATGGGAGACAGAATCATGCAGGTGAGCGATCCGAACCGGTCAACCATATTATAAGACATTCTCACAGTGATGAAGAGTTTTGTTCAGGTCACAAAACTAAACTATTCCTGATTTTACTAAATGAATCTCCACTAGAGGTCGCTGTGGCATCATTATTATTATTATTATTCATTTTGTGACACTTAAAGCAGTGGTTCACCAAAATAAGGAAAATTCTGTCAATAACTTATCATTTTACTTTTACCTGTTGTTTTAAATTGTACGTCTTTTCTTTTTTTTGAACGTGAATGCGGATTGAGGCTGTCAAGCATCAAAAAGCAACAAAAAAGTAGTCAATATGACTCATGCAATAGTTTTCATTTTTCACTTTTTCCATCTTTTGGTACTAACTGTATTGAGTGAACCAATAAAAATGTGGCCGTAGTTCAAGCCAAGGTTGTTAGGTTCCTTCAAAAAACATTATTTGTAGTGCACCTCCCATCCAATAATCGCAGAGATTTGTGCTGTGTTGCTTCTGATAAGAAACAGTGATCAAATTCTGTCCATTTTATTGTAAAATTCAAACAATAAATGCAGTTTTGACATTCTTAAATGTGGCGTGACAGATCGCTTTAGCCACTTCAGTTCTAGTGGCAGCGTGGCACGTGAATCTCTTCCACTTTCGTTTAAATTGTTGCATGAAATAAATGTGCATGAACATTGTCGACACCATGTTGAAAGATACAGTACAACTTACCAAAATGTATCAGCTCTCATGTAATCACTCATGGAAGGACGGCAATAAAACTGCTTGTGAACAATGTCACTTAAAGGGTTAGTTCACCCAAAAATGAAAATTCTGGCATTAATTACTCACCCTCATGCTGTTCCAAACCCGTAAGATCTCCGTTCATCTTCGGAACACAAATTAAGATATTTTTGATGCATTCCGAGAGCTCTCTGACCCTCCATAGACAGCAAGGATCCTTACACGATCAAGGTCCAGAAACGTAGCAAGGAGATCGGTAAAATAATCCATGTGACATCAGGGGTTCAACCGTAATTTTACGAAGCTACGAGAATATTTTTTGTGCAGAAAGAAAACAAAAATAACGACTTTATTCAACAATTCGTCTCCTCCACGTCACCCTGGCACCATTTTGGAGAGTATCACATACGAAAACAACTTATGCTATTCTGTGTCCGCTGCGCCACACGGATGCGTTTTCTACGTTCAGATCAAAGTGCAAACAACGTAGACAATGTATCCGTGTGGCGCAGCTTAGCTTGTCTAACATCTTAGACAAGTTATAAGATGTATACTATGTTTTTATTTAAAACTCACATTAAACCACCAGCGAGTGTTTGTAATAGATTGCGTCTAATCTGTGTTTTGGCCATATAATGTTGCTGAAATAGTTATTTGTAGCCTTTTATATCTTTTGCACCTGCTTAGCATTCCTAATGTACTGTAAACACCCTGTATTGCTATGAAAATCACATGAAATCTCATGAAAATCACAAAAATTGTGTGTTTATTAGCTTCATGTTTCATCTGTAGAAATGTTTTTCTGGGTTTCTTATGTACAGAACTGAACGTGGAAGTGTAATGGATATTTGTCATCGAAGACAGGGCGGGTTATGAACGCAGTAATATGAACGCGACATATGAGCAGCTAAAGAGCTTCCTCTGAGAAGAGAACATGCAGGCAGACAGCACAGGAATCAGCTAATGCTCATCAGATCGCGTAAATCAGCGAAAATGAATAGAAATTATGATTCTGTCTAAGGTATGCATTTTAAAATGAAAACAAAAACGTAGTCTAAAAGTCGTGGAAAAGATCAAAAGGCTGGCCGCATTTCACCAATGCTTGTCTGTCTCCTGAAAAAAAAAAAAGCAGAAAGAGGCAATTTTTTTTTAAACCGCTTACTGATTTAAAGATCTTAAGAATGCAGCAGTGAGCCTCACATACTGAGATGAGTCTTTAAGTCTGTAAAAACGTCCACAAACTGAAAAAATAAAACCAACTTTTTTTTTTTAAGGTAATGTAATCTTATTAAAACAGATTTCATAAAATTGGTATTGAAAAAAGTATTGTTCAAGAATCGATATCGAAGGCAAGGTATCGGAATTGAAGATTTTTTGAATGATACCCAGCCCTACAAGCTTGTGCCATGAATTACTAATATGACAGCTAGCTAATTGCATGCAAAGAGCTTATTAGCCTGCGCCATCTAGTGTTTCATGACTGAACTTATTTGGCATAATATGTTTAAAAGTATATATAAAATGTAGTTTTTGTGCACTCGATGTCAATTTCAGGTGAATGGCTGGGACATGACCATGGTGACACATGATCAGGCACGAAAAAAACTCACCAAGAAGAATGAAGATGTGGTCAGGCTTCTCGTCACTAGAAAAACGCTGGAAGATGCAGTCAGACAGTCCATGATGCAACACTAATGCAGGTCTGAAACACACTCATATGAGCTAATTGAATGTCCTTATTGGTTAATCACATGTTCAGAGCATGTTTTAACTAATAAAAAACAAACAGCCTCCCTCAGCCAAAGAGTGATGCCAAGAAACCTTTACACTCAATTTGGACTAACAATCTGTTAAAGATGATTTTGACGTATTGAACTCTAACTGAATCAGTGTATGTGTGAATGATTGCTCTCAGAGTACAATCTAAAGATTGTGGTTTGCATTCCATAAATTGCAACACTATTTTCAATTTAGCTACACTTTATGCCAAATACTACATTATCTTTACCACATATGCTCTTGAATGTATCACAGAGTCTGTGAACTCCTTATTTCATTCATAGATCTCAAGGGCTACAGTGAATTGTGTTCACCTCATTTTTTGTTAACACGTACACATACTTATAGGCCTGTTAATTATCGAATCAAGCGATGTGGGAAACAGCCAGCATATAGTTGTACTTTTAATGACCACTAATTTTGCTAGTTCGGGAGACCTTTTTAAAATTTTTATACCTTTGTTTTTGTATTTAATTAACACAATGCTATCCTATCAAAATATCATCCTCTGACCATAGAAAACGAATCTGCATTTGGCACAATTGAAAACACTGCAGTTTTGTATTTAGTGATACTTTTTCACATTTTTTTTCTGTTTTGAAAAAGTTTTTGATACTGATTTTTTTTGGCGTTTGATTGTATGAGGATATATTTTCACGTAAGCGAATAAAGGCATCTTCTTGCACATGCTTTGTGTGTTTTATTGATCTAAATGGAGTGTTTGCTGTCTCTGAGCTCTGATGTCTAATGAGTCTCTTTTGTCAGGCTGTAAATGTCTGTGTCTTCACATTAAACTTGAAGATGGTGACATTTCAGAGCAGCAAATCTATTTCCTGACCTTTTGCTGTTTGTCCAGGCAGTTTTGTACTTCAGGCTACTTTCATCTCTTTAATGTTAGCCGGCAAAGGTGAGCATACAACCAAGTAGCTCATAATGCAACTCACAATGTGCTGTAAAAGTGAGGCTGCCGATAATTACAGGGCAACACGTCTTCAAACACTCGTTCCATATTCTAGGGCACTGGTGAGAGAGTGATATTAGTGCATATTAGACAGGATTCATCATATAAATAACAATAAAACAGAATTAGTTCAGAAAAACATCACAGGGGCAATATCTTTTTAAAAGGTATACCAATATGTATAATTTAGGTACAATATGTTCTCTTTAGGTATTAATGTGTACCTTAAGACACTAGTATGCATTTTTTTTAGGGGTAAAAAAGTACAAAAGAGTACTTTTGATAAGGTACCGCCCCAGTGACAGCTTTTGCCCTTTTTTTCTGAGAGTGTTCAGTATTCATATGTAAACAAATAGCAGTCTGCTAATGATTTCAAATATGCATCAAGATTTTATATAACCACCTGCATACAGAAAATTAAATGTTTTTATTCGACAAATACTTCAGTGAACAAAGACTGATAATTAAAATATTAATCAAGATATTAGAAAATTATAGATTAATAAAATATAATGTTCCGATCAATTCAGCTGCATTTAATCTGTCCCACAATAAGAAAGAAAACACCATTTTGGACACACAAATAAAAGACATCCAACTGCCAAACAGGTCAGAGGGAAGAAATAATGCAGATAGTTTTATAATAGAAGAAAAATATTTATATTTGAACTTTTCTTTACTTTGAAACTGTAGTACTTGTCAAAAGTCAGAAGGAAACATATTTCAATAACTTAATAAAGTCTTACTAAGGCTGCGTTTATTTGATCAAAAATAGCCTACAGTAAAAACAGTAATATTGTGAAATATTACAAATGAATATATTTTTAAAATGTAATTTATTCCTGCGATGCAAAGCTGATTTTTCAGCATTACTGCAGTCTTTAGGGTCACACAATTTATGATTTTAGCACTTTATAGCCTACCAGCTACAGTGACAAAATAATTTGTCACCGCTTAGCTTATTTGTACATTTTACAATAGTAAACAAACCTTTTATAAATATATGAACTGTGGCTAATGCGTCTCATGCCTGTTTCTCAGCAGCTGAGTGTAATTACAGTAGCTAAATGGAGAACATGTATGCAGCATACCACCCACACTCTAGCAGGCCAATTGTGTTACCATAGTGATGCAATCTGCTGCTGTCACCTTTCACACATGCAAAATGCGCTGTTTTATGTTAAAGCCATGTTTACGGTCCTTACACTCGCTGAAGAATGGATACACTCGCTGAAGATCAATGGAGGGAAAACTGGCCCTAAATCAGGTCAAAAGGTGTGTTGTACCTCTGCTGTCACTCAGTATGGGGTCACATGGAGGGTGAGAGAATAAGGTCAGGGGTATAAAAACTGTTTCATGTGTGTTTGGCACGAGTTGAGCTTTACCTGTGACCACTTTAGACCAGTCTCCAGCATTAACCCACTGCAGAGCAACCATGAGTGGTGAGTGAACCCATATCGAGGTTTTATGCTGTAGATTAGTAAGGGAACTCTAAGCTGGGTGATAAATAATTTAGTTGCTCAAATTTAATTAGTCTTTTTCTTATGTTTTCTTGATGGTGTATTATGGAGTGTATTGTTTTTTTAATGTTTTCTGACATTAGACAAACAGTAATTGGTGTCAGCGGTCTGTATGATGGTTGATTATTTTGTCAGCCAGTCCATAATTTCAGGGTAATTCTCTAGAGCCACAAGGGTCTGAGATTTAAAGCAGTAATGCACCCAAATTTTATTCTATTTCTTGGAACAAAAACGGCGACGTTTTGCAGAATTACATGGCTTCAGATGTTTTGGAATATAGTGCACAAGTCATATAGTTAGATCACTTTTATAGTGCTTTTTGTAATTTTTTTGGAGCTTGACAGAATACACAATATTCATTCACTTCCATTGTATGGAAATGAGCAACCTGGACATTCTGATAAACATACTGTGTTCCACTGGGGGAAAAAAATACTATTTGGATTTGGAATGACATAAAGCTAATGGAATGCAATGATGGAATATTAATTTTGTAAACTGTTTTTTTTATGAGTAATTTTGCATAACCTTGCTGAATTTTGACAGAACTGCTTTAAAAGTTTTTTCCATTTCTGAAATATGCAAAGCTGTTTCTGCCTCAGAGGAATAAATAAAAAGGTGACTGCGAGAAGTTTAAAATAATAAATACTTTGAGAAATATAGCCACAACTATGAGAAATAAAGTCACAATTTCAAATAATAAAGAGGCCTTTACGAGAAATAATGTAATATAAAGTAACATTGTGAGACATAAAGTTGAAATTATGTGGTAAAAAGTATTACAAGATATAAAGACACAATTACAGTCGTAATGGCAAAATATGAAGTCACTTTGTTCAATATAAAGTTGAAAATATGTGAAAAAGTCATAATTGCAAGATATAAAGTCACAATTTCAGTCATAATTGCAAAATTTAAAGTCAACTTGTGAGATATAAAGTTTTGCCAAAGATATTGCAAGATATAAAGTCACGATTTCAAGATCGTAAATGCACATTGTAGTCACTTTGTGAGATATAAAGTTGAAATTATGCAGAAAAAAGTATTGCAAGATATAAAGTCACATTGCAAGATATAAAGACGCAAATTCAAGGTCATAATTGCAAAAGGTAAAGTCACATTGGGAGATATTGATATAGTTGAATTATGTGGATTAAATATTGCAAGATACAAAGTCACAATTAAAAAAAAAATGTAAAGTCACTTTGTGCAATGTAAAGTTAAAAATATGTGAAAGTCATAATTGCAAGATAGAAAGTCACATCATGAGATATAAAGTTGAAATTATGCTGAGAAATTGAAATTGCAAGATATAAAGATGTCAAGGTTGTAATTGTGATATATAAACACGCATTATGCAATATAATGATGATATTATGTGAAGTCATAATTGTGAGATATAAAATAACATTAAAGGGTTAGTTCACCCAAAAATGAAAATTAGGCTGCGTTTTACTCACCCCCGAGGCATCCTAGGTGTATATGACTTTCTTCTTTCAGACGAATCCAGTCGGAGTTATATTAAAAATTGTCTTTGATCTTTTAAGCTGTTTAATGCCACTCAGCGGGTGTTGCATTGCTTCAATCCAAAAGCAGTTAAATAAAAATCGCCCATCCATAAAAAAAAAGTGTCTCACACGGCTCCGGGGGGTGAACAAAGGCCTTTCATACAATTCCTGCAATGACCGATTCATATTTTGCCATTTAATCACATCATGATGTAGAGTAGAATACACAATGTGTGAATGTCACATCTCGGTTTTAGCTGATACTACTTGAGAGATGGTGAATTTTAAGTCACAAAATAATTAATTTTAGCCTTGATATGGTTCTTTCTGACTTCTCGGCCACAGTTTCCCACGAAACCCTCTTGGACCATGTATTAGAGCTGATTATGAACGAGAAGCCTCCAAACAGCACTAGTCTGTTTCTGAGTGAAGACTCTGAGAAACCACAGCGCGCTCAGGAGGGCCTCCACCGTCTGTGCCGAGCGTTACAGAAGCAGATGTCAGGAAGTCGACGAAAGATGGGCGGCATCACACGAGACAGCATCAAGATGTTCCTGCGGAGGAACACCTTTGTGATCTTCACGGTGGCCGCTGTGGCTTTAGGTAAAGGGGTAAATCAACGGGCGAAACAGCAGGGAAAACACAATGTTGGGCTTGTTTTTTTGTTGATAGTGGCAGGGGAGTATGAAGTTTGAAAACGGATGTTTCTCATCTCTTTGACTACATATAGGGGTGGTGTTGGGTTTCGCGCCGAGGCCTCATAACCTGTCCATCAGGGAGGTGAAGTATTTCTCTTTCCCTGGAGAGCTGCTGATGAGGATGCTTCAAATGCTCGTTCTACCGCTCATCGTCTCCAGCCTTGTCACAGGTACACCAGAAAAACCCTTCACGCTCTATAGAGCATTCGCTAACCATTTTAATTCCTTTACATTAGTTAATGCATTAGGTATCATGAGCTAACACTCAAAAAGGAACATTTTGTCATCATTTACTCACACCACAAATCTGTATGAATTTCTTTCTTCTGTTGAACATAAAATAAGATATTTTGAAGAATGTTGGTAACCAAACAGTTGACAGTAGCGATTGAATTCCATAGTTTTTTTTCCCTCCATACTATGAAGGTCATTGGCTACCAGCAATGGTTACCACATTCTTCAAAATTTCTTCTTTTGCGTTCAATAGAATATATTAACTATTGTTATGCTTTTACTGTGGTTTTGTTTTGTGCAATTTTACTATATAATTCAGTTCTGTTAACCTTTGGGGTTAGTAAAATTTAAATATATATATATGAAGAGTGTATTTGCAAAAACAGATAACTCCGTGTTTTTAAATGTTCAAAAATCATGTTTTATTTATTATGTTGTCATGTTTTTATTGTGTTTTATCGTGTTAGTTAGCTGTATTTTTCTAGTTATATAATAATTTTTTTAGTTAGAAAGAATGCATCAAATTGATCAAAAGTGTAACAGAAAAATAGTAAGCCAGTAAGACATTTACAATGTCACAAAAGATTTCTGTTTCAAATAAATGCTTTTGTTTAAATGTTCTATTCATCAGTGAATCCTAAAATTATATAACACTTAACACCAGGAGTGTAGGTTTGATTTTGGCATTGGAGGGGACATAACGGCAGACAACAGACGTTTAATTATTTGATCAAAATTTTTGCTACGGACAATTTAGTAGTGGCTGGATATTGGCTGGGACATGTCATAGCGTCTCTATTAAATTCTACACCCTTGAAAATCATAACAAGTGATGGACTTTGACTTTGGAAACTATAGTTCTACTCCAAAAACAAAAAAACTAAACAAAACAAAAACATGGCTACAACTCACATTTCCACACATCCACGCTCTGAGTCCTGATCTGTAATAATGGTTCGCGAATCATTATTCAGATCGGGACTTCGGCATATTAGAATGATTTCTGAAAGATCATGCGACACTGAAAACTGGAGTAATGATGCTGAAAGTTCAGCTTTACATCAGGAATAAATAAATTTGAAAATAGATTAAAATAGAAAACAGTTATAATTTGTAATAATATTTTGCAATATTACAGTTTTTTACATATTTTTGATAAAATACATTTCAGAAGAGAAGTCTTTAAAAAAAATCTTATTGCTCCCAAAATTTTGAATGGTAATGTATATAATATCTATAAAAAACAGTATATGTAAAAATGAACACTGACCAATTATCAGTCTGTTAAGCTATTTAACCATAAACTATTTAATCAAAAAAGCAATGAACGATGGTGATTTATAGTGTGATTGACACAGAAATGTTCAACAACAGATCTTTTGTCTCTTGCTGTTGCATGCCTTCAGGAATCTCCTCTTTAGACAGCAAGACCTCTGGGAAGATGGGAATCCGGGCCATCGTCTACTACATGGTGACCACGTTTATAGCGGTTTTCATCGGTATTGTAATGGTGATTATTATCAGGCCGGGTAAAGGCAGCAGGGACAGTCCAGTGGCCTCTAGTGGCAGCACTGAGCCTGTGCAGGCCGCTGACACTTTTCTGGACCTGATAAGGTGGGGGAAAAGTTTAGTTTGACTGATGCGATGCTTGTTTGTTTTTTAGATGCTATGGGATCTAATTTTTCTCATTCTTCTTACAGAAACATGTTTCCACCAAATTTAGTTCAGGCCTGCTTTAAACAGGTTTGTGAATCCTCTCCGAATGCATCTCTGAAGATAATGTGGCACTTCTCATTTGGTACTAGGGCTGCTTGATATAAAATTGATATCACGATCAGTGTTGAGTGTGATGCATTACTAATGCATTAAATACTGTAATTTAAGTACCTTTCCCTTCAAAAAGAAAGGGATTATTCTTAATTTAATTACAGTTACTCCTGATGTAATATTGCGTAGACCAATAGAACAATTCTGTTAGAGGATAGTTCACCCAAAAATGAAAATTATCCCATTATTTACTCACCCTCAAGCCATGCTAGGCATATATGACTTCCTTCTTTCAGATGAATCCAGTCGGAGTTATATTAAAAATTGACTTTGATCTTTCAAGCTGTTTAATGGCAGTCAGCGGGTGTTGCAGTTCATCAGTCCAAAAGAAGTTAAATAAAGTGCATGCATCCATAATAAAAAGTGTCTCACACAGCTCGGGGGGTGAACAAAGGCCTCCTGTAGCGAATCGATGCATTTTTGTAAGAAAAATATCCATATTCAAAACGTAATAATCACTTTAATTTAATAATGTATATTATAATATAAAATAAAATAATATATAATTCAAAATGTTACCAAAAACTATTAAGAGCATCTCAGTGATACTAAAATAACACTTCACTAGCATATATATGACCTCAAAGCTAAAAATTAACAAAACGTTTGGCATATGATCTGAATAACAAGTCCTGAATATCATTATTAATTTCCCCCATTTGCCCCTGTATAGTTTGCTTGTCATTTAGGAGACATTTAAGAAGACACAATAAAATGAATAGATTCTCTTCCTGAATCCATGAGGTTGCAGCATTTAGCTATTTATACTTAGCCATCCTAAATATATAAAGTATAATTATTTTTTTGATGATTACATCTTAGTAATTAAATTCTCCTGAATAAATTTCAGTTGAGCTTCTTGTCTTCCTCAGCTCTGCCACCCTGCCCATCACTTTCCGTTGTCTTGAAGAAAACAACCATGTGGACAAACGAGTGACACATTTTGTGCTGCCAGTTGGAGCCACAATCAATATGGATGGCACTGCTCTGTACGAGGCAATGGCGGCCATTTTTATTGCCCAGGTCAATGACATGGACCTGAACTTTGGGCAGATCCTCACCATCAGGTTAGTGTTGGCCTGCACAAGTACTGAAGGAGTCTTTATCTCTTCTCATCTCCTTATTGCGAACAATATCTCCTGTGGGCTATTTTCCATCAAACTCCAAATTAAAAAGCCCTCATGTTTCCCGCAGCATTACGGCGACTGCCGCTAGCATCGGAGCAGCAGGCATCCCTCAGGCTGGGCTGGTTACCATGGTGATAGTATTGACATCGGTGGGACTGCCCACAGAGGACATTACACTGATCATCGCGGTGGACTGGTTCCTGTGAGTCTCTCTCAAATGTCACGCTGAAGCATGCGGCTCCAGTAGAGAGCACTCTCTCAAAGGTTATTGATACATAATGCAGACTGCTAATCTGAAGGAGTGTTGACACATTCGGCTTTCATACTGCTGAACACTGAATTGAATAGGTTAAACGTTTCTCTTCAGTGACTTGTAAGCAGAAAGTTTCTTTACTTAACAGATTATTAATGATGTTTGCTAATGTAAGCATTACTATTACTGATGCTTATTTAAAGGGATAGTTCACCCAAAAATGAAAATTCTGTCATTAATTACTCACACTCATGTCGTTCCAAACCTGTAAGACCTTCGTTCATCTTTGAACACAAATTAAGATATTTTTGATGAAATTCGAGAGCTCTCTGACCCTCCATAGAGAGCAACGCAACTGACATGTTCAAGGTCCAGAAAGGTAGTAAGGACATCGGGTGATTCAACCGTAATGTTATGAAGCTACGAGAATACTTCTTGAGTGCAAAGAAAACTAAAATAACAACTTTTATTCAACTATTTCTTCTCTTCCGGGTCAGTCTTCGCCGCACGTTCACGAGAGTAGCATGACGCATACATGTGATGCTTCTGACTCAGGAACCGGCGTTCTGACATAGAACCATCTCTCTTAGTTCATCGTCCGTATATTCTGGTTCGAATAAGTAAGGCTGGGCAAAAAAATTGCAAGTCATCCTCTCTGTAGAAATCTTCAGACATGTTTACGAAGACTGTTTTATGTCCAGTATGTGCATACCTCTGCTTGTAAACAAGACTCAGCGCATCTGGGTTCTACGTCAGAAAAAGTATTTTCACAAAAAGTATTCTCGTAGCTTCATTAAATTACAGATGAACCACTGATGTCATGTGGACTATTTTAATTATGTCCTTACTACTTTTCTGGGCCTCGAACGTGGTAGTTGCATTGCTGTCTATGGAGGCTCAGAAAGCTCTTGGATTTCATCAAAAACATCTTAATTTGTGTTCCAGATGACATGAACAACATGAAGGTGAGTAATTAATGACAGAAGTTTCATATATGGGTGAAATAAGCCTTTAAAGGGGTCTTATTTTGCCCTTTTGCAAAGTCTTGATACTAGAATAGGTTTTCATGCTTGATTGTTCCAAAAGCACATTAATTTTCACATATTTTACATTATTGCAGTGCCTCTCTTCCCTGTCTCTTCCCTGTTTAGTTCCTGTTTTGATGAAACCCCTCCTTCCGAAATAGGAAATGTGCTCTGATTGGTTAGCTGTCCCAGTGTGTTGTGATTTGCAAACTGCTTACAGCGTGTTTCCGGAAATGTCACGCCCCTAACCATAACTGCGAATTTCTTCTGCTCAGCTGTAAATATTAACGATGGTGTCAGTTTTGCCATACCAGTATGAACCCAGTTCATGGCGGCAACACGCTACTAAAGCAGCTCTTCTTCTCCGTCTTCTGTAGTGCAGCTCAACAAGGCCTTGCCCCTTTTTTGCATATTCCGTGGTGGGAATTATTTAAATGAGAAGTGCGCTGTAGTTCGAACAAGCCGTTTGTTGTAGTTTTGAAAAGTGTTTTCTGTTAAAGAGAATATCTCCTTTTAGAGTGGACTTTGAGCTTTGTATAGCCTTGCAGATCTTTTTATGCTTAAACAGCAACATAACACAGTAACTAAAGCTGAAACAGTCTAAAAGCTCAATAGGACTCCTTTAAACAAACTAAATACACTATTCAAATTATAATAAAGTATTAAATTGTGTCACAATACCAGTCCTGCTCATGTGCATCAGACACAAATGATGCCTCAAACTCATGTCGTTTGTTGAGGAAAAGTGTGCTGTTACTTTTCTAAGCAGTAGGGTGATTTTACAGTTGGTAAAAACAGGTTAAAACATGCCATGAAATTGATGGAGGGCCCAAAACATATTTCATATGTGGAGTCTTTTGACTTGGACCAGTAAGAGACCGGCTATTAATCATCTTAATCACCTTAGAAACCACCTAGGGAGTGTCTTAGCAACCACCCATAACAAGTCAAGTCAAGTCACCTTTATTTATATAACGCTTTTAACAATACAGATTGTTTCAAAGCAGCTTTACAGTATCAAATAGGAAAATAGTGTGTCAACAATGCGGAAGGACAATAGTGAACACTCAATTTTCAGTTAAACACACACCAGCAACTGTATAGCAACCTTTGCAACCACCCTAGTAACCACCTAGGGAATGAATCCTTGGCAACGACACACAACACACAAGAAACTGCATAGCAACACCTTAGCAACCACCCTAGAAACCACCTGGGGACCACCGTGGCAATAACCCAACAACACACCAGCAACTGCATACAGTAGCAGCACCTTAGCAACCACCCTAGAAACTACCTAGGGATTGCCTTGGCAATTACACCCAACACACCAGCAACTGCTTAGCAACACCTTGGCAACCACACTAGAAACCACCTGGGGACCACTTTGGCAATGACCCTTATCCTAACCCTAACCTAACCTAACCCAACACAAAAGCAACTTCATAGCAACACCTTGGCAACCACCCTAGAAGCCACATAGGCAATGCCTTGGCAACCACCACAACAATCCAGCAACTGCATAGCAACACCTTGGCAACCACCCTAAAAGCCACCTAGGGAATGCCTTGGCAACGACACAACACACAAGCAACTGCATATCAACACCTTGACAACCACCATAGAAACCACCTAGGGAATGCCTTGGAAACCACCCACATCACCCTAGCAACTGGATAACATGTTAAAATCCACTTTTACATCATAGCACCTGTATAGTAACACCTTGACAACCACTCCAAACACCCAAGCAAGATGACAAAAACAATCCATAACACCTTAGCATCGGCAGAGCAACAACCTAGCAACACCTTGGAAACCACCTATAACACTCTAGAAACTGCATAGCAACATGCTAAAATACCCAGCACACCTTAACACCTGGAAAAACAATATCCAAGCAACACCTACCAAAACCTTGGCAACCACTCTAGGAACCACCTGGGGACCACCTTGGCAACCACCCACAACACACCAGCAACTGATTAGCAACACCTTGGCAACCATCCTAAGCCACCTAGAGAATTTATTGGCAATGACACACAGCACAACAGCAACTGCATAGCAACACCTTGGAAACCACCCACATCACCCTAGCAACTGCATAACATCATGTTAAAAACCACTCTGTACACCATAGCACCTGCATAGTAACACCTTGGCAACCGTTCCAACACCCTAGCAACATGAGAACCCATTTAGAACACCTTAGCATCTGCATAGCAACACTGTAGCAACACCTTGGAAACACTCTAGAAACTACATAGCAACATACTAAATCACCCAGCACACCTTAACACCTGCAAAAACAATATCCTAGCAACCACCTGCCAACACCTTGGCAACCACCCACAACACCCTTGCGACTGCATAGCAACAAACAAACAAAAAACACTCTGAACACTTTAGCCCCTACAAAGTAACACCCTAGAAACTGCATAACGACAAGCTAGAAACCACTCATAACACCTCAATCAGAACACATTAGTGTCTGCATAGTAACACCCTGGCAACCACCCACAACACCCTAGCAACATGCTAAAAACCACTCTAAACACCTTAGCAACATATTGGCAACCACCCACAACTCCCTGACAACATGCTAAAAACCATTCTAAACACCCTAGTGTGACCCCTCTCCCCCGGGTCCTTACCGCCACACCTCGTTCTCATTCCGAGTGGGTCTCGAACCCGGGTCTCCGGCATGGTAGGCGGACGCACTAACAAGGAGGCTAAAGACTGCAGCCTCTAGTGTCAGTCGCTAGTGCGTCTCTTGAGATCAGGGGAGTGAGGTTTACCTGCACAGCACTTACTCGTTGGCCTCCGTTACACTAGCAACACATTGGCAACCCGCTGCAACACTCCAGCATTGCAGTGGTGAGCTTTTCATGGTAAAGCACCACTCACACCTGAAGAAAATGGATTTAATGTAAATGTTTTTGTGTGGTTCAGGGATCGACTCAGGACCACCACCAATGTGCTGGGAGATTCATTCGGCGCTGGGATCGTTGAGCATCTGTCACGACAGGAACTCCAGAACCAGGATGTGGAAATCAGCAACTCTGTGATCGAGGAGAATGAAAAGCCGTACCAGCTGATCTGTCAGGAGAACGACTCTCTCAAACATCGCAACAGTGAAACCGCCATGTAATTATCCTCAAATCATTATAGTTCACACCAACGGACTGTAAAAAAAGATGGCCGACGCATCTCCACTTCTGTCCACCATAGAAGTGAAGCCAAAATATCCCAGTTACAGCCGTTGTCAAAGTGTGAAAATGAAGTAATTTGGGCCAGAGTGTGCCAGTAGTGATCATGAGGTGGAGCTGCGGTATCAAAATCCCATCCAAGCTCCCACAGACCCAATCACAAACCCACAATCATGACACCACACGCCATTTTTACAGCATCAAACTAAAACAAACCGTATTAGAAATTCGGTGTTTGCAAAAAGTGATGACGGTTTTTGTGGGCGGAGACTATCTGGTGGTAGAAAATGACAGTTTTCTAGTAGCAGTCTATGGAAGCCATGGAATAAAATAATTAAAAAAAAGGTATATTTGAGTCTATATTTCAAAATTCTGACTTTATTCTCGCAGTTCCGAAATTATATCTCACAATTGTGATAAGAAGTCATGAGTTTATATCCCACAGTTCTGGCTTTTTTCCTCAGAATTTACAAACTCGCTATTGATGAGTTAAATCCAGTTCTAAAGATATAATCTTGCATTTGCGAGAAAAAGTCAGATTTGTGAGATAAAATAGGTAAATGTTATGTAAAATGTTATAGGTTTAAATAGTATTTCATGCTGTAACTGTAGGGCTAATATAATACGTCCCCTATGAACTGCATATGTGAATATAATTTAGACCTATTGTTTAAATCAAATTTAGGGTAATCACACCAGGTTTCATCCATAGTCTGTCCATTTAAACGTTAGTGTCTTTAGTCTGTGTCGACGGTATTCTATAAAAATGATTTGCATTCCGATTCTGACATCCAAAGGCACAACAACAATAATTTTTTTATCTTATTCCATGGATTTGGCCCGTTTCCCTCCACTTGTTGTTTTTCTGCCACCACAATGCATGCGCAGCTCCAGGTGACATAACTGTGACATCTACTCCAAATTGGTCTATCAGCATGATAAGAGCTACCTAAAATGATGGAAACCATCTCTGGGAAAAATTTATTTCAAGTGTGATTTGATTTTTAAGTTTGGCTTACGTCCCATTTGTCTACATGGAGAGGGCGTGGTTTATGACCTACCCTGTATACTGCAGCCAGCCACCAGATGGCGATCAAAATGTTTTGGCTTTACTTTTTGGAACATGCCAGGCACACTTGTTCTCACTTAAAGCAGTTATATTAAACATTTTCTGAAAATTAGAACATGCTCACTAAAATGTTGGAAAGAAGACAGATGTTGAGAATGTAAGTGATAGCCAATGCGAATGTAAGATTTGTCAATGCTGTCTCACAACAAATTCGTATGTATTTTACGGAGGTGGCTAATTCGTACAACCTCACTCGTGTTTTCTGTGAGGGGTAGGTTTAGGGGCGGGGTTAGGGGCGGTCATTTGTACGAATTCCTACGAATTTGCCACCTCATAAAATAAGTACGATTTTTCACAAAACGTACAAATTCGTACGAACAAGCTCATACGAATTCATATGAACTAGCCACCTTATAAAATATGTATTTGCTGTGAGATCGGGTTGGATTTGTGGTTTTATCCATCAGTATTTTTATTTACTTTGAAACAAATCACATCCAAGTCACAGTAGCACCCAATTAAAACAACACTATGCTAGTTTTATAATGCTGATTTGAGACTGTTAAAACCATCAAGGTCTTTGTAAATTGTTTAAAGTATAAATATTGTTTTAGAGTTGGTTGATGTCATTAAACCTGCATTATTACTTAATGCTGTATTACCTCATACACACAATGCCAAACTAATAGATGATAAATGTAGAGACAAAGGGAACATTTTTGAGTTACTTTGATGTTCTTATTGTGGTTTTGTTATCTAGTTTAACAATGATGTAGATGTTTATATGATATTGAATGATACTGTAACCAATTATTTATATTATGTAATGTTTCTTTGATGAATTTAGCTTTTGCCTTACTGTTTTATGATGGACTGTGAAGTACATAAGTATAATTCCTCCCTTAAAGGGACAGTTCATCCCAAAATGAAAATTCTGTCATCATTTAATCACCCTCCACATGTTCTAAGGCTGTATGAGTTTCTGTCTTCTGTTGAACACAAAAGAAGATAATTTGAATAATATTTGTAATCAGAAGTCAGCGCTAGCCATTGACTTCCATGGTATGGAAGAAATACTATGGAAGTCAATGGCTACCGTCAACTGTTTGGTAAATGATGCCGGATTTGTCATTTTTGGGTGAACTGTCCCTTTAAGAATGGCTTTTATTAACATTATTTGTTTGGATTCATTCTTGATAGCACACATCGGCAGGATGTAAAGTTTTGGTGAAGAGTGGTTTATGAAGAATAAGATTTTTTTTTGTAGTGGCTACTTTTTGAGATCTGTTTTCCAGTTTTATAAATATCCTCAGATTGTGCTGTCCGTATTGCACCTGTGTCTGGGTGAAATACTTGAATCTACCACAGTCTCCAAAGGTAGGTATAACTACCAAAAGTATTAGGATAATGGATTCACTTCACAATCCTCTCTCTTAAGTTATATCCACAGTATATACTTTTAGTAGAGATTGCTTTTAAATGCAAACTATGTGAAAATGGTGTAATGTTGTTTAATATTTCTTATTTATGGTACCATTTTGTACTGTACTGTACTTTTTAATTTGGAGTTTGCCTTTTTGAGTTACTGGTCTAGTGTGGGCATATATTTGACTTGAATTATTTGGTCATTTGAATTCTGGAAGGTGTTAAGATGAATAAATGTCTCAGGAATAAAATGACTCAATTTACAGTGTTCTCTTGTTGAAAACAAACCACATCACACTGTCGCCGAATAACAGCATATCAACATAACAGCATCCTCTAGTGGTGTGTAATGGATTCAGGAATTTTTACCTAAATGCATGTGTCTGTGGATTGATGGATGGACGTGTATCATTCATCAATCTTTTGAAAATGGAAATTGGACATATGTCTCAGGAACTTTTCTATATCATTCCTGTAGCTCAAATAGCAGGGCACAGTGCTATTAATGCCAAGGTCTTTTATCTTTTCTCTTTCTTTCAACAAAAATGACCTTATAGTTGCTATCAGTATTTTGCTAAGTTTACTTGCACTGCAAGCTCAATAGCTCAACTCTGTTATAGGAAAAATAATAGCGATTTATTTATTACAGAACAAAGGCACATAATTATGTGAATATATGAATACAAAAAAAAAAAAAAAAACTAGCTTACTATTTTTTCTATTCTATCTACTTGTTTTTCTGTGTGTGTGTGTGTGTGTGTGTATATGTGTGTGTGTGTATAATATATATATATATATATATATACACCTTGCTACGTGTACTGCGTTAGGCTAACCGAGACTTGTCATTTGCACTTATATATTGTTGCTCTTTTGTTAGTTTTGACTGCTTTTATTGTCCTCATTTGTAAGTCGCTTTGGATAAAAGCGTCTGCTAAATGACTAAATGTAAATGAATATTGTCAATAAATAATGTGTTGTGCAGTGGTATTTGCTATATTTTGCACTGATGCAGAGATGCTGGAAACGTATTATTTATAAAAAATTATTTTTGTTAATATTTTTAATTATAATTATTTTTGAAACACAAGTCTAATCTTATTTCTCAATATTTTAAGATGCTAATGTTGTCAAAGAAGAAGTGATCTCATTAAGCTCATCTAATCTAAAAGCTGCTCAAATAGCCTATGTATTTTCACACGTGGAATAATTAACCCTGGGTCATTCTAACCCCCTGGATATCATACTGCTCATAATTTACCCGATGTTAACAATTAATCCTGGGTATACATAAAGTTACGTTTCACACTGCACGTTCCTAAACCCCGGGTTAACGTGCTTATTTGCATATTCGCGGTCAGTGTTGCTGATTGGACGAACGCAGCAAGCAACCTGTTTATATCTTTGGTTTAGTTTCCTTTGTTATGTTGATCAAATTTCCCCTGAATGGACTTTTCGATGGACTTTAAAGGTAAGAATAAAACAGTCTTCACTCCTGTTCATGTGTTTTCCGTAACTATTTGACATTGCTGAGATAACCCTGTGTGAAACAGCCTACTTTTACCCGGGCGAAAAGCGCGGTTTAGTACCGGTACTACAATAACTTTGGGCTA